TCACTACAACCGAAGTTGGTACTGCATACTAGATAGATGGCGCAACGGCATTTCACGGTCCACACTACAGAAAGCCTTGCTTAAACCCAGGAAACAAATGCAGATGGGCTTGTTTTATTATCCATTGATCTGCGCACAGTATTTAATAAACTTGCTACTGCATCCAATGTGGACATTGAACTGAAATATGCAAATTGCTAAAGGTCATCTAACGTCGTAAGGGCTGAGATCCTTTAATGAATTAGCCCCTCGAAGGTCTGTAGAGCAACCGACTTTCAAACCATGGACACTGGCCTGATCCTTGCGTTTCGCCAGTTGCCAACTATACTGTGTTACTCTAAGCTCAATATATACAAGTCGACGAGAGGATGTGACAAATATTCTGCACACTAGTTGGGAACGACAGAAGACAACTTTTCCGGACTAGGTGTTCTTGACCTGCAATCCGATTAATTTTTTCTGTAATTCTAAGCTGCTCAGAGAGTAGGTGGGTTCTCTGAGGCAAACTGTACATCCGCGGAGGATATACCAAAGAAGGAAATAATATCATTGTCACGGAAATTAAGGTTTATTTGTTCACATCCTGTGTTTAGTGCGTGACCTCGCGGGTGAATTTGCTCAACTGTTTTGGCATTTGCATATTTCTTGGTAATTATTATTCCCAGATATGGCATGTATATGATTGCGGTGACGCAACTCAAGTTTCATAGCAATCGATCAAGACTCGACCGACATAACGTCTTTACGCTTAAGAGCCTTTTCTTTAAGTTTACGTATTCGTTAGAAGTGTTGAGACGAAAATCTCAGGCACAGGTCCAGTGGGAAACTGTCAGAGCGATGTCACACTGTGAATGACCTAGGTCCATACAAGATGCGGATTGATCATTTAGTCTGCGAATAACATCGTGATCGCTGCAAAAGCTGTTTTGAATACTAGGACCGGTCGCTCCTGCAAGATCCTTAATTAAAACTGTATAGTCGTCATCTACTCGATTCCTATCTATCGGATATCGGATATTTTATGAAGTGAAGCCTAAAGGTGTACGATTATTTGACGTGATGGCGATGTGTAGCGCGTAAAGGATTACACCAGCCAGGTCGGTGTTCAAGAAACATGCGCGCCTGGTTTGCAGCCATAAGTTCCCCGGTTCGAATCCGCGTAGTTGTGGACGTCTTCGCGATCTACTCAGCCCACACGCGACTGCCGTTAATCGCTCGGCAGCGAAGCGCCGTTACGACCTACAGCTGACACATTGTCTTGCTGATGATTGCATGATGTAATGTTGCCAGCAGGATATTTTCGGCAGCGAGGCAACACAGAAATATTGTCAGCTAGAACAGCAACTCGCAACTGTGAGGATGATGGCCTTCAAGAATACATTTCTTTGCTTTGTGCAGCGCCTAGGGCCTGCAGGTGACGTAACCGTGTTAGCGGGATCCGACAGGTGACACCCAACCTTCGGTACTGAGAGGGCTTCCGCACACGCCGAGTATACTGCTTAGGTATTTGCTGTTGACCAGTCGACTGTATCAAACTAGATGTGCACAACCTTTGCAAAACTCATTGGCGTGGATCACTTGTAGATTATAAACACATTTTACATGCCAGTCGTGACGGCACCAAGCCCATCGATCCTGACTAGATCCACCCACTGATGCACAGGTCAGACTTCCTTGTTTAACCTGCCTAACAGATGGTTGTCTGAATGTGCATTAGCGAGTGTTTTGAAATGCTCGGTGTTGTTGCAGCTTCCGAATGACCGTGAATTAAGTAAGGTAACCTTTAGCAGCCGATTTCTTTGGTATCTGTTTTATTAATGGTACTCGAGATGACGTTGGAGAAGAGCGTGATGCGGCCGCTGGGATCAAAAAGCCGAATAATGCCGATATAGCACAGTTTTAGGTAAGTTCTCCCATACATTACTGATGTACTGTTGACACGACACGGATAGTTGCAAGAGTTTGGATGGGCGAATTTGGTTGAAGTGGACATTCCTCAACTAGATACCTACTTAATGACTCTGTGCTGTGGTGTATTTTGTTCCGAATCTACATCAGTCGAAAACCTCAGCTTCTCCGGTCGTCCTGCACCTTGTCTGCCGATAACTTTGGTTTTGCAGAGTAACTATATTCTCAACGACTGCAACGTACTGCGATTTGTAAAGTTTTATAAGATGGGCAACTCAGTTAATTTCTTATTAATGAGCCTGGGCAAGGGAGTGATGTGTGCCATTACATTCTAACAGGCCAAGCACTGCTTCTTAAATCTTCTGTGAAAGACTTGGGCGAACTCTCACGTCGCGAGTTGAAGTCCATGAACAACACGCATAGGCTATAGGAAGACGGATTGCACAAGCTTTCGGAGTTAAAACGCAACTTCTGCACTTGGCCTGCAAATGTTAACTTTCGACTTCTCTTCAATCATAAGTAAAGTCCCACTGTACGATTACCCGTAGCAGGATGCTATAGTTTGTAACAGCATACCCGGTGTCTGTCTGGATTTCTCTAATTTCATGTAGTATGTCGTACAGGACCTGTACAGTAGACATCATGTTGTATAATCGGTTTCGAGTGGACATTTTCGGATATTATATCTGGGAGATATCCTCTGTTTGTAAACTAACATTAAAATCAACAATCTGCTTTAAAAAGATGTGGTTGCTATCAAAGTCTCCTGGACCGATCCCTACAGGTCGGTTTCCCCACTAACTATTAGGGTATTTACCATGTGCAGATCTACGTCCGAGGATAGTATGCTCCAACAAGCATCATTTGACGGGTAAAACTAAGTCCAGTTTGTGAAACTTTAAAGAACAGCCCCTTTGTTTTAGCCAACCAGTGAGACCTGCCTTGCAATGTCTTTTCCGTGAAACATGCCGCTTGCAACAATGCACATCATAGACTTACGTTCATATGAACTGGATGTATATATATACATATTGTTTGTTACACTGAAACACAAACAACATTTCACAGAATTGGTACGTCAACATGGGTAGAAATAACCGTGCTCTGAAACTCTGGTTTGTTATGCGAAATTTCGGCCTCGAGAAGATGCGAAACTTAACGAGAAAGGTAAGTGGTTTCTTTCTCACACTCGTAAAAGAGCGTTCATGATAACTAACCAGGAGAATCCTTTTGCACTGTTTAGACTCACAAATTCTTTAATGAGTAATTTGCCGTTGTCTTCTAAAATCTTACTTTCCAGTTTACCTTACCTCAGCTGTGCGTTAAAGGGGAAATTTATACTCTTGTAATATTGACAGCTTTTCGTTTATGCCATTCATCTCATTATAAATTCGGGCAAGTTCGTTTTAGACAAATCTACAGCTTAATATACATAACATATCGATCCGTCAGCTAACTAGGGGATCAGTAATTTCTGCAGGTCTGGATTTCGGTAAAGGGTAGCTACCAGAAGCAATATTGCACAAATAACCGGATTAGTTTCCTCGTTACCTTACAGCAGTTGCACTAACATGGTTGCAGCTTCGGATAATAAACTGCACACTAAATGCATGATCTACATATTCGCTTGGTACCGTACACTAAATGTGAGTGCATGAAATCGCTACTATTAGCAACCACTGGCGTAAGATTGTCACATCTCTCCCCATAGCCTGTCTCCATATTGCTTCGCTCACACCTTACACAAATGTGGATTTCTGTTATTCTTTTGACATTGACATGACGATGCGAATTTGTATCATCAGTTAGCTTTTTGCTTCCTTACAGTTTTATTCAAGTTACTTAAATTATTAACTTGCTTCAAAATATTCTCAAGAAGCCAGAACAATTTGCATTCCCCAGCAACTGTGCGGAAACAAACCCAACCAAAATGTTATAGTTTTTTTTCCCTAAATACCGTGAGTAACGCTGAACGTAAAACAATTTTAAGGATGGCATCCCACAAGCTTAGCTTATTCAGAGTAAGTCAATAATGAGAGTATCTGCTGGTACACACCTTATTGAAATTTTGGCGCGTCACGCTAAACCATTTCTTGATGGATAACTATTTGAGTAAAGCTAAATTTAAATTAAACTTAAAAGCAACACCCAGTAAGGGAACGAAAAACTAGCTTCAAGCCTGAGGGTGAACGTTACCATGCATTTGGATACTGATCGGGAAGCATTGGCAGCAAGCACATTACAGGTATTACGACAATGTGTATGCGGTGTTTTTCAGGATAAATTGGGGCATACTAATCGTATTTGTATCTCGCCTTGATTCCTCTATCATGCTTTCCTTCGCCTAAGCAACTCACCAACTCCGCTGTCCACTTACGAGGTATTTCTCCGCTTAACTACTGGTCATTAGACAATACGTCTCTGCACTTGATTGGTGGTCTCAAAGTGCGTCACAAAAAGCTTCACTTTTACAGCATAGAAATTCACATTACCTTACCGTGTTACTCAGTTGCTTTCGAGGGTATTCCAAACCGGTGTCATTGACACGATTCTAAGCCTTATGGTGAAATCCCGTTGAATTTCCTCGACACGTCAGACAAATAAACATTTTTAGATTTAAGGCAGAATACTAGTTTAAACAAGAGCTTGGATAATTGCAATAATTTGAATCACACAGTGTATCGTCACATGTCACAGCCATAATATAAAGTTCTACAAACTGTAAGTGTAGTTCAAGTAAGTTACAGTTGGTATTTCAGTTCGAGATTTCCACCTGACAGATGAAAGAAAACAACGAAACTGCTCAGAAATTAATTAACTGATATATACAGGTCACTATAAGAAAATACATTATTCAGTCAGATGTTAACTAAGGGCAAAACACTGTGTGCCATTAAAGTTTCCTGACATACATGGTGGATGACGTAACATCGACTTAGCTGTATGCTGTAAAACGATAGACTTAGTAGTTTCATTTGGGTTACAGTTGGGACTGAATCGAATTACATGAAGTTCCGCCTGTGTTCAAGTTCTCCATTGGCATATTTGTGCATTTTTTAAAATCTACTTACGCTTCTCTGTTTACAATACAGCACCACCAGTTAGCAATGAAATTTGCTGAACTGATCCAAGAGGACATCCGTTTTGAAGTTGTAAATGATGTTCGTTTCGGTTTAGTCTGCTTCAAGTTGAAGGTGAGTTAACGCGAACCTGTAAACTCAATGTACCTACTTCATCTAAGACCGTATATTTAAAACACATTTTCAGACGAACGATTAAAAAGCTCAGTATATTTTGTAGTATAGTTACTAAGCTTGAAGTCGCTTCGAGTATGTATAGATAAATCACTCCATCCATCAACTGACGAGATTTAACTGATAATGACTGGATACCCAAGGAGAAAATATCAAAAAAACCTATTGGTAAAGGGAGTGGTGAAAGGGGGATTCAATGTGAGTCAGTGCGGTCTAACCAACTCAAGCGGTGTAAGTGACAAAAGGTAATAATTGATACTCTAACGACCGGGTAAGGAACACTTTGTAAAAGTTACTGTATGATATCTGCAAAACACTGCTGCGCTGCCACTCCAGATGCTCTAGCACATTTGTGGAGACCCCTCTGTTATTTGCTCTTCTATGTGCATCATTTCTTATCGTGTGATACTCGTGGATAACGTTTGTAACTTGTGACTGCCTTCATTTATTACGGCTTCTTGATTTCCAAAGTTTAATGCGCAGAAAGACTTAGCTGCAAGCATACACTACTGAGTTTAGACAGATTTCACCGCTGTATATGACATTGATTTAGATTGAGAGAGTTAGACTTTAACATAGCTGATATCGACACATAACTGGATAAACAGATTTGGGTCAGTAAATTTCATTTAACTTGATGCTGGAAACGGCAGTGTTACATTTCACTCTGTTTCACTGGACATTTTCATTGGTTATAAATTTTTCTAAACGCAAATTACTTTCAGGCTGGTGACTGGGCGAATCATGAATTGGTTCATCTACTTACTGAAGAAAGACTAATGTGTTTGTCAATGGGAACATTGCCCGTAGGCCAAGCAACAGATAATGGGAGGTTCTTTCTGAGGTTTGTTTCCAATCAACAAGCGGAGCTCGACGATATGGAGCTAGCAGTGAAGAATATCACAAGGCTTGCATCTCGAGTGCTGCTGGAGAATCAGGACAGCAAGTAGCGACAAAATACTTGTGGCACAGGTGATCTAACACCATGATTATGTTAAATTCTCTTGTTTAATTTGATCAGGCAAAAGAAATACTACACAAATCTTCTTCTGAATTGGGCGGGAGCTGTAAAACCAACTGGTCCGAGACTGCTAGTTAACCACTAGTCTACCTCCACGACAGGCAGAAAGCCCTTCATAAAAATATCGGGGTTGAAGCATCACGTTACATTTAGCATTCTAAATAATACAATGAGAAGGTGGGTTCTGCAAGAGGTTATATCATTTCCTCTGCTTACACTTAAACCATCAAAGTAACTACCGAGCACGGTAGGTAAGAATCAGTACTTTGAATGCTGGATGGAAGATAGATGAGGCATACCACGTCGCAAGCTACAGCAGGAGAACACAATTGAATAATCGAAGAACGGTATATTACTTGCCCACGACATTTCCTTAGAAAACCGCGAACTTATCAGTCTTTTCAACTACGGATCTATCAGGCGTATCCAAGGCATAAACTAAGTCATCGCATCAGGTGGCTAAGACATAGCGGAACCTGTCCAATCTAGCATAATTTTTAATCATTTTGTCTGAGCCCCTTTCATCGTGTATGCTAAACCCACATGCGTGGAATTCCGACTAGTCCCTTTCGAGCAGCTCAACGGTATCTGATTTGAACTCTACGACATACATAAATTCATCAGGTGTACCAAAGGATCCCACTCCCTGTATCCAGGAAATATTCCCACTTAGCTTTGAAATCTGGCGGGAATGACATCCCACCACTACTGCTTAGTATGATCAAGCTATCTAGGAACACCGGCACAGTGCGAGCGCAATGAAAAGAAGCCATAGTTGTGTCGCGACATAAATGAGGCTCCTTATTCGTGCCTCAAAAAATTATAGTCAAATAAGCCAAAAATATATCTTTCAAATAGGATGAAGTGACACATCAAAGCTATAATCGTCAAGTTTCTGTTGTCAATAAAGCTAATATGCAACTCTCAACACGGTTTCTTGAATAATCGGTCTTATGTAACACGCCACTATGAGTTTCTAAACTACATAAGTATCGCATATACTTCCAGTGTGCCGGCAGCTTCGCCTTGCCTCAACCGATACAAGCCTTCTATCAGTGGCTTCATGAGCATCTGATGGGTAAAATGTGCGACGAGATCATCGAACCACTGCTTTCTTGCCTGGTTCAGGTCATACCTGAAAATGTAACGCGTGATACCAGTTCAAAAATACAAAGCAGAACCTACATCTGTCACCGGTAGAATGATGTAAAGAAATGCACTTGGGCCGCTACACCTCTTAATACATGATAGCTACGTCTGTGTATCAAATTGCGGCACACTATGCCTGGTTACCGATTACATTAAAATGGGCT